ACTCTAATCCCTTATGATATTTTAATTTACCATATAACCTTTTAAGGGTTTCCAAAATATATACATAAACCCCCAGTGGTTTATAAATAATTTTCAACTTTGCATTCGGGTACTTTTGATATTTTAGTTGACTCCTTTACGGAATGCAAATTTCTTTATTTTGATACTTTAATTCAATTTATGAGGGAGTTATGTGAAAAAGTTCTAAACCGCATGGGGTAAAGTGTATTTAACCTTTTTTCTTTTCTTTTTATTATCACTATTTAAGAACATGTGGTTTTTATATAAGAGTAAAAACTTTATACTTCAAAACATACATTATGTATAACTTATAGTGATTATTTATGACTTAATTTGAGCTGCACATGAGGCTATGGAAGCACAAGGAATTTTTCCCAAATCAACATCAACAAATATACCACCAGTAACTAATGGTGTTAAATCAGAAATCACACAATCTGCTGTCCATTTTGTAACTCCTGCAGACAAACCTGTGCAATCAAATACAAGTCCGCGACCAACAAATGATGATCCTATTTTAGGGGCATCAAATGGGGACTGATTGCCTGTTTGTCCCAACTGTTTTAATTGTTAACTCTGTGTAACTTATTTTGAAAATCTTCATCCGTTATTTTTTGTCAAAAAAAAGTACCATTTAATCGGAAGTTCAAGAATTGCCAGAGTGATTAAATTAATATTGATTGCAAGTTCAATAATTAAAGATAAAAATTTGTAGCTTATGGCTCTATCTATATCCTTTAATCGTCTTGATTAACCTTAAATGGTTTTTTTTCTTTGGCCAAACACACTTTACCCCCTGTGGTTTAGCAATTTTTTCATAAACCCCTAGAGTTTCAAAAGCTATATATAACCCCTTCATAATTTGAATTAAAGTTCACAGTGCTGAAAATAATCATTTGTAACGAACCCATAAAATGTCCAAATTACTCTTGTTTAAAATTTAAAATAGCTCAAGTGATCGAAATATATAAATATAATATACATGAAACTCTAATCCCTTATGATTTTTTAATTTACAATATAACCTTTTAATGGTTCCAAAATATATACATAAACCCCCAGTGGTTTATAAATAATTTTCAACTTTACATTGGGGTACTTTTGATATTTTAGTTGACTCCTTTATGAAATGTAAATTTCTTTATTTTGATACTTTAATTCAATTTATGAGGGAGTTATGTGAAAAAGTTCTAAACCACATGGGGTAAAGTGTATTTAACCTTTTCTTTTTCTTTTTATTATCACTATTTAAGAAGATGTGGTTTTTATATAAGAGTAAAAACTTTATACTTCAAAACACACATTATGTATAACTTATATGTGATTATTTATGACTTAATTTGAGCTGCACATGAGGCTATGGAAGCACAAGGAATTTTCCCAAATCAACATCAACAAATATACCACCAGTAACTAATGGTGTTGCTTCAGAAATCACACAATCTGCTGTCCATTCTGTAACTCCTGCAGACAAACCTGTGCAATCAAATACAAGTCCGCGACCAACAAATGATGATCCTATTTTAGGGGCATCAAATGGGGACTGATTGCCTGTTTGTCCACAACTGTTTTAATTGTTAACTCTGTGTAACTTATTTTGAAAATCTTCATCCGTTATTTTTGTCAAAAAAAAGTACCATTTAATTCGGAAGTTCAAGAATTGCCAGGGTGATTAAATTAATATTGATTTCAAGTTCATTAATTAAAGATAAAAATTTGTAGCTTAGGGCTCTATCTATATCCTTTAATCGTCTTGATTAACCTTAAATGGTTTTTTTTCTTTGGCCAAACACACTTTACCCCCTGTGGTTTAGCAATTTTTTCATAAACCCCTAGAGTTTCAAAAGCTATATATAACCCCTTCATAATTTGAATTAAAGTTCACAGTGCTGAAAATAATCATTTGTAACGGAACCCATAAAAATGTCCAAATTACTCTTGTTTAAAATTTAAAATAGCTCAAGTGATCGAAATATATAAATATAATATACATGAAACTCTAATCCCTTATGATTTTTAATTTACAATATAACCTTTTAATGGTTCCCAAAATATATACATAAACCCCCAGTGGTTTATAAATAATTTTCAACTTTACATTGGGTACTTTTGATATTTTAGTTGACTCCTTTATGAAATGTAAATTCCTTCATTTTGACACTTTAATTCAATTTATGAGGGAGTTATATGAAAAAGTTCTAAACCACAGGGGTAAAGTGTATTTACCCTTTTTACCTTTTCTTTTTATTATTACTATTTAAGAAGTAAATACTTTGTTGAAGAGTATTTAAGAAGATGTGGTTTTTATGAAGAGTAAATACTTTATATTTCAAATCGTACATTATGTATAACTTATTTGTGATTATTTATGACTTAATTTGAGCTGCATGTGAGGCAATGGAAGCACAAGGAATTATTCCCAAATCAAAATCAACAAATATAGCACCAGTAACTGATGGTGTTGCTTCAGAAATCACACAATCTGCTGTCATTCTGTAACTCCGGCAGATAAACCTGTGCAATCGAATACAAGTTTGCGACCTACAAACGATGATCCTATTTTAGGGGTATCAAATGGGGACTGATTGCCTGTTTATCCATAACTGTTTTAATTGTTAACTCTGTGTAACTTATTTTGAAAATATTCATCTGTTATTTTCTGTAAAAAAAGTACCATTTAATCCTAAAGTTCAATAATTGCCAAAGTGATTAAATTAATATTGATTGCAAGTTCAATAATTCAAGTTGCAAATATAATTTTCTAGTTCTCGAGTAAAAATTCGGGCAGCATGTCCTTTGTGTTTACCTAATTTTCCAGCCATTTAGGCTTCATTATTTTTCTCAAACACAACCCAACATCATACATAACAACAATTTATGTCAAGAGCCGTTCCATAGGCTCACAATATCATAATAACAAGAATCGTATTAAGGACAAGTGCAGAAATTCAATGTGGCACAAGACAGATTTGACGTATAAAAACGGAAATAACTTATCCGAGGCTACGCTTATCGGATTAAGGCGAAACCTATGCCGTTTCGAAGCTAAGACTCAGGGCTACAATGTTCATGAATATCACTAAGTCCAGTTTCTAATGGAACTTGGTCAAATTCTCGAATTACTAAACCAGAAACCAATTCGCCGGCTGTTTAAACGCAGAACACTGTAATGGACATAACTCAGTGTACACAAGTCCGAATCAGGTTTTCTTTGAGGCATTTTAAAGCTACTTCAGAAAAATACAACTTTCATGTTTTGGCCCAGAGCTAAAACAGAATGGATCCTGGTCAAAAATCGTGATAAACTGGACTGAACTGAAGAAACGGACTGCTGGGAAATACTTAGAACAGTAGGGGTATTTTGGACTTTCCACGTCCTACGTTGCTCCGATTGAGTTGAAATTTTGTAGGCACCTATAAAATGCCATTCTCTACAACTTTTATTCTTTGACCTAAGGCCAAAACAGCCTCTAACATATAGATAAAAATTCGGACAGAATGTTGGGACCATTTTCCATATTTTGGAAATTTTGAGTTTCTAGTGAATCTTTCCTTAATTTCTTGGTCCAATCACTACCACAACACCATATGAAACCTCAATTGCATCATATAAACATCATACAACCATTTGGGCAGAATTTCCATAAGCCCTAGTGCATCAAATAAATTGGGGAAAACTACTAAAACATGCTCATCATCCATAATCTCACCATAAAATCAAGTTACTAGGCTTAATTTAACAAGATTAGAAGTAAAACTTGGAGAGATAAACTCTCTTACCTTGAATAGAGATCACAAAGAGTAGCCCAAGCTTCCTCCTTCCAAAGCTTACCACAAATCACCACCTAGTCACTTAGGAACAAGTTTAATCGGTTTACTTTGTTTATTTTCTCACTAAATTGCTGGATTTGAAGATGAAATGAAGAAATTTCCCTTGGTGTTTTCTTCCCTCTCCCTCTCGGCTCTTAGGCAGAAATATGAAGAGAAATGAGGCTAAGTTTATCTTATAATAAAGCCAAAAGATTAGAACTAATGATGTCCACAAATTGCCCAACACTTGGCCTAATCTTGGCCACTCATTTTTCTCTTTCTTTCCCTTGCTTATAAGCCACAAATTTCGGTCCCCTTAGCTGTAATATAAGAAGATATTTTGCTCAATTATCAATGAGCTTGTAGGGTAAGAAAGTGGTGGTCAAGCAGTGCGTTCAATCGGTAATGCGCGGGACCCGTCGGATCGCGCCGTTTTTCTTAAAAACTCACGTACTAGGGTTTTTACTTCCCATTCACTAACTTTATACCATTGCTACTAATCACATATTATTTCTCACTCAAAAGTCACTTTTAATCTCCAAATTTAATCCTTACTCTGTACCGAAAATTCATCCGGCGAAAAATCGCGAAAACCCTAATTTTGCTCCAAACTTGAAACCGAAGCGTAAAACCTTATTTTCTAGGTTTATTTACACTTATCATGGAATAATTGGATAGTAGGGCTTTAATAAATGATAATCTTCAAATAAAAAGAAATTTTTAAGAAAACGTGAGGAATTTTCCAATTCCAGTAATTAAAATTAGGGTTTCAATTAAAATAGGAGAGATTTAGGAAAACCGGTTAGTCACAAGTAAATTAGGGTTTTTGGCTACAATATTAGGGTTTCTAGTCTTTTAAACCAAAATAAGGTTTTAAATCAACCCAAAGAAATACACTTTAATATTTTCTTCACAAACAACCTCCTAATATTCGGGATGTTACAGTTAGTCCCAATAAAGGTGAGCGATACTTTCTAAGATTTCTCTTATCTCATATTCATGTGCCAAAGTCATTTTACCATCTTCTCACTGTCAATGGACAACTTGCATCTTCATATTGAGAAGCTACCTTTCGAATAGGCTTGCTCCAATCTGATACCTACACAGAAGACACATTTGCTGAAGCCAGTGCATTTCATATGCCTTGTTCACTTAGATCCTTGTTTGCAATGTTACTTGTTTTTTGTACTCCTTCCAATCCTATTAGTTTATGGGAGAAATATGAGGCTGACTTATCCAATGATTTAGAAAGAACGGGCTTTACTAATGGCTATGATTCTGCTTATATTAGGAGATGTGTGCTGCAGGACATAAATAGATCATTGGAGCAGATGGGTAAACACATAGGTGATTATCATCTGGTTCTTGATGATCTTCTATTTACTGACCATGAACGTTTGACCAAGGAAATTGAAAGTGAGTGAAATGTTTTCTTTACAGAGGATGATTTGCTAACAGTTTCTCGACTGAACACTGGTCAGAAAGTTGCATATAATGCTATTATGTCAGAAATCTTTTAGCCTGATAGCAAGAGCTTCTTTGTGGATGGGCCTAGAGAAACAGGCAAAACCATTTTGTATCATGCCCTGCTTGCTACGTTGCGGACACAGGGTTATATAGCATTACCAGTTACATCATTCGGTGTAGCAGCATCTATTCTTCTTGCAGGAAGAACTACATACTCACGATTTAAAATTCCTCTTGATGCATCAATTGCTAAGACTTGCCAGATTAGTAAGCAGAGCTCGACTGCTAAACTGATTTTTATGGCCAAGTTAATCCTATGGGACGAAGCTTCAATGGCGAAGCGAGAAACCATTGAAGCATTTGATCTGCTCCTTAAAGATATCATGGACAGTGATAAGCCGTTTGGTAGTAAAGTCATGGTTTTTGGCAGTGACTTTCGTCAGACTCTCCCGGTTATTCAAAATGCAACGAGGGATATTCAGGTTCAAGCCAGCTTTGTCAACTCTACTTTGTGGGGTAGTTTACAAAAAGTTTCTCTAATAAAGAATATGCGGGCTTTTCTGGATAAATCATTTTTAGAATTTCTTCTTAGAGTAGGAGAAGGAACTGAACCGGAGAATGAAGATGGGCGAATATCTCTAAGCAATAACATATTAGTACCATATGATAACAAGGATAGTTCTCTGGACAGGTTATGTTCTAATTCATACCTTTTATATATATTAGCATGCAGTGCTGCATTATAATAGTGTCGTGGGTATTAATATGTGTACGGTTATGTGTAAAATCGTACAGTTACGTATTACAACAGTATCATAGGTTATCCTACCTAAAATAATATTTGTCCTAACAAGATCTTTGATCACACGGGTTAATAGAATCAGTGTTTTCAGACTTACGGATTTATTCCTTGGATCCCTATCTAATGATAAGTAGGTGTATCCTCTCCATAATGAATAGTTCAATTGATGATGTAAACCAGATGATAATTGATCAGGTTAACCTTATACTTATATGAGCACTGATAGAACACTTAATGAGCGAGATCAAGGAGATTATGAAGATTTTCTTAATTCTTTGAATCCAAAAGGCCTCTATCCTCATAAATTAATCTTAAAGGATAACTGTCCAGTCATTTTGATGTGGAATCTGAACCCAGTTGAAGGCCTCTACAATAGCACTCGCGTGACGGCCCCACCTCCCCCTAGGGCGTACCCCAGGGTTTAGCGGACCGCCTACCCAACTCTCGTCAGGACTCACTCACTCATAGCTCAACAAAAATAACGTACGTCCATAGAAAAATGCATAACACATCTATTTCAACTTCATATATACATTGCTGCTCAAATCCAGATACAAAACTTCTACACACCAAAATACTTCAAGGTGTTGACAAATCGAGTACAATCAACCCTAGTCTTAAAATTGAGTACAATCGAGTACAATCAACCCTAGTCGGGTACTAGCGTGAGTACAAATTTAAAATTCAAAACAACTAGACTGCGCTAGTCTGTACACGTCTCACGCCTCGCTCGTACCCCCTGTAAGGAAAACAAATGGCGTGAAATGAGCTAAAAGCCCAGTGAGGTTCCAAATAACAAATTGACCATTTTTAAAAGTACAAATATCAACGTAGCAAATTAATGAGCATCAAAAATTCATAAAAGTGAACCAAATACTTCAAGTAGCAAATCTCAAAGTGAACGAGTGTAAAAGTTTTTCAGAAGAAACAATAATCCAATAAGCAATAATCATTCCAAAGTATAAGGATACGGAGGGCTCTCAGGAGCCAAATTCCCATTGCATCACCAGAACTTGATCAAGTAATAGTTGACAATCCATCAACCTTCAAATAAGTAACCAATCCAGTAGAGCACCACTTACACTACTCTCCGTCCACCATTCACACCCCCTACTGGGCCCAAAATCCTCAATAAACACTGGTGGTAATACTCGAGTATACCGATTAGTCAAGGAGATAACACTCCACTCGACATCACTAACTACCCATGGTTCGTTATCTAATCGACCAAACCCTTGCCGGCTTGACTCGATTAACTAGCCAGTGGGGTTTGGGTTCCCAAAACTGTCGATGAGATAACATCTCCAATCGACTGAATCAAAATAAAAGTACGGAGACGGGAATGAGAGGCACCTCCCACTCGGATTGAGTGCGGTACATACTGCCGCTCCGCACTTATAACTCAAGTACAAGTATATCACGTCAATTGCAACAATAAACAAGTATATATCATGTTAAGGCAAGTGCGATAAAGTACACTCTTGCCCGATCAAACAAATTACATATCATTAAATCACATTGGTCAAGTATGGAAAACAAGTATCCAGTTCAATCAGGTATTTGGAAGCACTCACCAAAGGTCTAGTGCCTCTCAAAAGTCACGTTCAGGTCCAACTCCTTGGTTGGAGTCCAAATCTGTGATAAAATATCACTTACGAATGTAAAACTCTCTAGAGTTCGAAACATAGGAGTTTCGCTTCAAGAAAATCAAGTAAATGTAACTCGTTTAAGTAGTATTCAAGATACTTATCAAATTCCAAAAAATTCATGCTCGCTCGTTTAGTTATGATCAAGAAGTGGTTTCAACTTTAGAAGTTGCACTTGGTATCAAAGACCAGAAAAGTCGTCTTTTGAAAGGGTCACTACTTTCACTTTTCAAGGGTACGAGTTCCGGCAAAATTTTAGCTTATATACCTTGTGATACGAACGTCGCCAACCTTGTGACGAAACCCGTAAAAGATTAGCTTCAGGATCGACAAGAGGACACCAAGTTTGAAGCGGATGACCTCAACCCGTTAATTACGTGGTTAACGAACCTTGGTATAATGGTAGAAGATGCCACAACCTAGTGCGATTCTAGATTGATAAGTCACGAACACCTAGAGAAATTCTAAGGTATTCAAGAATCCTTAGAAAAACCAAGAAAACTCTCAAAATCTGATTTATTGATTGAATGCATAAACCATTGGAAGTGTGGGCTATTTATAGCCTTACATAGAGATGAACAACTAAATGTGGAACTAGTCTAGAGTTGTGGTCTTGACTAAGACTAACAATTATAGGCTTGACCAAACCTTATGAGGTCATCCCTTAGGTAAACAACCTTATGAGGTCATCGCTTAGGTAAATGACCTTATGAGGTCATCGCTTAGGTAAATAAAGCAAGGCTATGGACCATTAAACCCTTATTACAATGACTTAACTAAAACAGCAAATGTGACTAGAGAAGGGTCACACATGGTTCTCTTTGACGTGCACTACATGGATGACTTTCATTCCTTCATGCTCAAGCCCCTCAATGACCTTGGGGACAATTTCTTGGCCTTGTATCTCATGAACAAGTCCTTGGAGTTCCTCCCTCATCTTCTTAGCTCGTGCTCGAGTTACGGGTCCTAGGGGAACTCGAATAGTTCGCAATGGTGTCTCTTGGTTCGTATCATCCCCCTCCTCTTCAAAAGGATTTGTCCTCAAATCAGCTTCATCGTCTGCAAGAAAAGGAGATAGATCAGAGACATTGAATGTAGCGCTCACATTGTACTCACCGGGTAGGTCCAGTTTGTAAGCATTGTCATTGATGCGCTTGATGACTTGGAACGGCCCATCTCCTCTCCTCGGGGAAGTAATTTATTGCGCCTTTGGACTGGGAACCTTTCCTTGCGTAGATGTAACCACACCCAGTCACCAGGTTCAAACACAACGCGTTGGCGTCCCTTGTTAACCGTTGAGCAACTTGGTCCATCCTTCGTTCAATGTTTAGGCGTACCTGCTCGTGTAATTTCTTGACAAAATCTGCTCGTTTAGCACCATCCATGTTAATGTGCTCAGAAGAAGGTAAAGGTGATAAGTCTAGTGGTGTTAAAGGGTTAAAACCATAGACTATTTCAAATGGTGAAAAATGAGTAGAACTATGCACCGTGCGATTGTATGCAAACTCAACATGGGGTAAACACTCTTCCCAGGTTCTAATGTTTTTTCTAATGATGGCACGCAAAGAGTGTAGATAGTGTACGATTGACAACCTCAGTTTGGCCATCAGTTTGTGGGTGACTAGTAGTAGAAAATAGCAATTTGGTAACCCAATTTTCCCCACAAAGTTTTCCAAAAGTAACTCAAAAATTTGACATCCCTATCAGAGACAATTGTCCTAGGCATGCCATGCAATCTAATGATTTCTTTGAAAAACAAATCAGCAATGTGCGATGCATCATCTGTTTTGTGACATGGTATAAAATGTGCCATTTTTGAAAATCTGTCAACAATAACAAAGATGCTATCATTTCCCCTCTTTGACCTAGGCAACCCTAAAACAAAATCCATGGAAATGTCGGTCCAAGGTTCCTTAGGTACAGGTAAAGGACTATAAAGGCCATAGGGTTGAAGTTTAGACTTAGCTTTGTGGCAAGTAATGCATTTAGCCACCATTCGCTCCACATCTCGTTTCATCCTTGGCCAATGGAAGTGCTCTTGAAGGATAGCTAAGGTTTTAGCCACGCCAAAGTGTCCCATCAAGCCACCTCCGTGTGCTTCCCTAACTAGTAAAGAGCGAATAGAGCAATTAGGTATGCATAGTCGATTGAGGTAGAAAAGAAATCCATCAAGGATGTAGAATTTACCTTGAGTTGCTGAACCACAAGAATCATAAATACCTGAGAAATCTGGGTCATTGGTGTATAACTCTTTAACTAATTCAAATCCTAACAACCTTGCATCAAGTTGAGTGAGCAAAGAGTACCGACGTGATAATGCATCAGCAACAACATTAGTTTTCCCCACTTTGTACTTAATCACATAAGGGAAGGTTTCAATAAATGCAATCCATCTAACATGACGCTTATTCAACTTGTGTTGTGACTTAATGTGCTTAAGCGACTCATGATCAGTGTGTATGACAAATTCCCTTGGTCTCAAGTAATGTTGCCAAGTTTCTAAAGCACGGATTAAGGAGTACAACTCCTTATCATAAGTGGAATAGTTCAAAGCTGCTCCATTGAGTTTTTCACTAAAGTATGCAATTGGTTTGCCCTCTTGCATTAGGACAGCTCCAATACCCACCCCAGATGCATCACACTCTATTTCAAACATCTTGTCAAAGCATGGTAATGCAAGTAGTGGTGCATGTGTGAGTTGATGTTTAAGCATTTGGAAAGCACGTACTTGAGCATCTCTCCACACAAATGGCTCATTTTTCTTAATTACAGCAGTTAGAGGTGCAGCAATGGTACTAAAATCTTTAACAAATCGTCTATAAAAACTAGCAAGACCATGGAAGCTACATACCTCACCCACCGTGCTTGGAGTAGGCCATTCTCGAATTGCTTTAACCTTCTCCTCGTCCACTTTGATTCCCTGTTTACTCACAACAAAGCCTAGGAAGACAAGTTGATCAGTACAAAAGGAGCACTTCTTAAGGTTAGCATAGAGCTTTTCCCTTCGAAGTACATCAAGAACAAGCTTCACATGTTCAACATGCTCATCGAAGCTCCTACTATAAATCAGGATATCGTCAAAATATACAACTACAAATTTTCCAAGGAATGGACGAAGTACATGGTTCATCAACCTCATGAACGTACTAGGTGCATTAGTTAGTCCAAATGGCATAACTAACCACTCGTACAAGCCATGTTTGGTTTTAAAGGCCGTTTTCCATTCATCCCCCTCTTTCATCCTAATTTGATGATAACCGCTTTTTAGATCAATTTTAGTGAAAATCACAGCACCATA